GTGTGTTTGTGCTATAAAGATTGTCACTTGATGTAAAAAAGGGTGAGGATGTCTAATCCATGGACATGTATCAGGGGTATCGGTAGTAAGGTAATCCCTAAGTTTCATAGTTTGTTGACTTGAAAATTGTCAATGTTATGGTAATTACTTTATTATAATATTATTGTATGATGATTGTAATTCCAAATTATGGATTGTGAGGAGTGATTTAGATTGCCTTGTGTATTGATGGTTAGGGTTGTATGCATAGATTTGAGGATTCTTACTCTTTTGGATGAATCTAATTATTGTGGTGTTTATGTGTTGTTCTATGTATGCTATATATTGATTTTACCATATGATTTGAGTAGGAAGAAATTGGCGGGTTTGGGAGACCTTGTATTGCAACTTGTGATTCTACGAAGTGAAAAACCTACGACAACATTGGACGTGATGAATGCAATTTTCTACAATAGGCATGGAGAGAGCTATGTCAAGTAGATGAATAACAAAAAGGTCTCTCTTGAAGTTGTTTTGATGTTATTTTCACTAGATATGATGTTAGGCATGACTTGGATCACTCTAGGAAAATTTGTGCCAAAGGATTCTTTTTGACTTTTTAGCACAAGGCGTGGAAGCAACCGCACCGAACACAATTCAAGCAAGGAGGTTCCTAATCCCTCCATGTTGGGCACGATCATATCTTTACTTGGCATCGTGTCGCTAGTGGACTATAATTAGTTTAAAGAATAATGAATAGTAAAGGATTCTATGAAGAGCAACAATATTTGAATTTAAAAAAAGAGATAAAGAGAGTAGGTAATCATGGTTAGCCTTGTAAAGAAAAAATAGACATGAGAGTGTGAATAAGGGAAGAAATATATAAGTATAAACAAGCAAAGATAGAAAGACAATGAGTATGAAGAAAAGAGAGAAGAAGTGTGTGATGATAAGTATATTTCCAATAATAATGAATGATATGAAAAGTAACGAATGAATGAATGATGGATGATAATATTTAATGATGATGATGTTTAGTGAGGGTGTAGATGAGATGAGCAAGTTTAGGCTACAGTTTAGTAATGTGAAATCCAAGCAAGGCTTGGTACCTTGTGGAGAAGTCCAAACAAAGAGGTTTGGCAAAGTCATTGAGATGTACATTGCATTTAATGTTGTGTGGTGTTAATTATTATGTAGAATTTATTCATTGCATACTTTCTTTGGTAAGGTGGCATGAATCTATGTAGAAGGACCTCTATGATCATCTACCTAGACCTTGAGGATGTTATGGTAGGGAGCCTCTAATGGGAAGGTAACCATAGTCGACTATAATGCTTCGACCAGATCATGGTAGATTTCCCCTAATTAAGAGTGGATTGAGAGGGTCATCCAGTGTGTGGTGATTCAGTCCATGACCCTTAGGCTGCCTTGTATCAATGATGATGAAATTGGTACCACATGCATGTAGAAGTAAGAGCATGCATCACAAAAGTCTTAATTTTTATTTGGAGGTTTATTTGTATTAAATGTATTAGTGTTGTTGAGGTGAATGTACTTTGAATGTTGGAAATATATATATATATATATATATATATATATATATATATATATTATTGATGTTTATTTATGGATTTTTGTTATGTTGGTGTTGATCATATGCCTTGTATGTGTTACACATGGATGAGATAAATTCTCACTCTTTTGTGTTTGTGTGGTTGTTATTTTATTTGGTCGGTCGTCATTTGTTGGAGTAAAGTAGGTATATGAGGTCGAGCATGAGGGAGTCCTTCAATGGTTGCTTTTGGGTTTTGCTTTAATAATGTGATATCGAGGCTATAGGATCTTGTTTTATTTTCCTTATATAAGGATTGAGTTTTCAAACAATCTTTATGATGTTTTACCTTGAAAGATTTTATGGTTTTCTAGTTACATTTATATAATTTATAACATCTTTTTAATTTATTTTTTGTTTATTAAAAAATCTTTATTTATAATATTTTGGGGTAGAAGGGTGTGACATAAACTATGAAAAAGGGAATGGATATAAGATTTTTAGGAAACATAAACTTCATAAGTTCATTTCTAGAGTCTTAAAGAGAGGTTCTAGAGGTTATAAAGCTAAAGAAGTTTGTTTCTTCTTTTGATTCCACTTGGAGCAACATTAGCCTTCCTTGAAGTCGAGTTGAAGTTGTAGTAGATTCAAGTC